TCTTTTTTTCTTTGTAAGTCTGGCTAGGGGTTTGTCAATTTTATTTATCTTCTCAAGGAACCAGACCTTTGTTTCAGTGATCCTTTCTACTACCTTTTTTGTTTCAATAGCATTTATTTCTGCTCTGATTTTTATTATTTCTCTCCCTCTTTTGACTTTGGGGTTTGTTTGTTCTTCTTTTTCTAATTCTGTTAGGTGTAGTTTGAGATTGCTTATTTGGTATTTTTCCTGTTTGTTAAGGTGAGCCTGTATTGCGATGAATGTGCCTCTTAATATGGCTTTTGCTGCATCCCATATGAGTTGGTATGGTATGTTTTCATTTTCATTTTTCTTCAGATATTTTTTGCTTTCTCCCTCCTTTAATTTCGTCAATGATCCATCATTGCTTGTTCAATAGCATGTTGTTTAGTCTCCACATCTTTGTCCCTTTCTCAGCTTTTTTCTTACAATTAACTTCAAGCTTTCTACCATTGTGATTGGAAAAGATGCTTGTTATTATTTCAATCTTCTTAAATTTATTGAGGGTTGCCTTGTTTCCCAGCATATGGTCTATCCTTGAGAATGTTCCACGTACACTTGAGAAGAATGTGTATTCTGCTGTTTTTGGATGGAGTGTTCTATATATGTCTATTAAGTCCAACTGGTCTAGCTTTTCATTTAATTCCACTGTTTCCTTGTTGATTTTCTGTCTGGATGATCTATCCATTGATGTGAGTGGAGTGTTGAGGCCCCTACTATTATTTTGTTATTATTATTTTCTTTTGGGTTTCTTAATAGTTGCTTTATGTACTTTCGTGCTCCTGTTTTGGGTGCGTAGATATTTATAAGCACTATTTCTTCTTGTTGGAGTGTCCTTTTGATCATTATATATTGCCCCTCTTTGTCTCTCTTTACTTGTCTTATCTTGAAGTCTACTTTGTCTAATATGAGTACTGCAACACGTGGTTTTTTTTGTTTGCCTTTAGCTTGGAGTATTGTCTTCCATCCCTTCACTCTGAGCCTGTGTTTGTCATTGGAGCCGAGATGTGTTTCCTGGAGGCAGCATACTGTTGGGTCTTGTTCTTTAATCCATCTCACCACTCTGTGTCTTTTTATTGAAGAATTCAATCCATTTACGTTTAGGGTGGTTATCAATATATGAGGGCTTAATGCTGCCATTTTATCACTCATTTTCCAGTTCTGGATTTCCTTTGTTTCTCATCCTGTGTATTATGATCTACCAATCAAGTTAAGTAGTTTTTAATGTTGCGTTTCTTTGTTTCTCCTTACTTATCATTTGCGTCTCTGTTCTGCTTTTTTGTTTAGTGGTTACCATGAGGTTTGCATTCAAAATCTTGTGGATAAGATAGCCCATTTTCTGATGACCTCTTATTTCCTTAAACTAAATTGATTCAGTCCCTTTCCTCTTCCCCTCCTAGGTTGCTTTTCTCACATTTTATTCCATCTTGTGTTATGAGTTTGTGGTTAAAATGACAAGATTACCTTTGTTTTTGGTGTTTTCCTTCCCTTTATCTTTAATGCTGTACTTGAGTACTTGCTCCTGCTCTGTCTCCCTATTTATATCCTTCCTCCATGCTTTGTAACACCTTTCTCCCCCCGCCTCTTTTTTTTTTCTTCAAGTATGAGGGTCCTCTTGAGGATTTCTTGTAGGGAGGGTCTCGTGGCTATGAACTCCCTTAGCTTATGTTTGTCTGAGAAAGTTTTTATCTCTCCATCATATCTGAAGGATACTTTTGCTGGATAGAGTATTCTTGGCTGAAAGTTTTTTGTTCTTCAAATATTTGAATATGTCATTCCAGTCTCCCCTAGCCTATAAGGTTTCTGCAGACAACTCCACTGAAAGCCTGATGGGGTGCCTTTGTAGGTTATTTTCTTCTGCCTTGCTGCCTTTAGTATTCTTTCTTTGTCATTCACTTTTGCCAGTTTCACTACTATATGCCTTGCAGTAGGTCTTTTTACATTGACATATTTAGGAGATCCGGTAGCCTCTTCCACGTGGATTTTCATCTCCTTCCCTAGGTTTGGGAAGTTCTCTGCTATTATTTCTTTGAACAAGCTTTCTGCTCCATTCTCCTTCTCTTCTCCTTCTTGAATACCTATAATTCTTATGATGCATTTCCTAATTGAGTCAGATATTTCTCAGAGACTTTATTCATTTCTTTTTAGCCTTAGTTCTCTCTCCTCCTCTATCTGGAGCATTCCAAAGTGTCTATCTTTGATTATTCTGAATGTTCCTCTATGATGTCTACTCAAGTGTTCAGGGAATCCACATTTTGTTTTATTTTTTCCATTGTGTCTTTCATCTCTAACATTTCTGACTGATTCTTCTTTATAGTTTCAATCTATTTTGTGAAGTAGCTCCTGAACTCGTTGAATTGTTTCTCTACATTCTCTTTTAACTCATTGAGTTTTTGATGATAGCTATTTTGAATTCTTTGTCATTTAGATTACATATTTCTGTGTCCTCAGGACTGAATTCTGGGTGCTTGTCATTTTCTCTCTGGTCTGGAGATCTAATATGATGTTTAGTATTGCTAGAGGGAGTGGCTCTGTTTTTTTGCATCCTGGTGTTATTTGGTTGCTGTTACTGCCTATTGCCACTGGGGGGGGGGGGGGCGTCAAGAGCCGCGTAGTGTGAGCCCTTTGCCTGCAGCTGAGATTCTAGGTGCTGGAGCCGGCACTGGGTGGTGTGGGGAGAAGGGTGCTTTCTCCTGTGTGCTCTTGGGTTTTCTCTCTCTGCTCTCCTGGGGTGTTTACTTGATAAGGTCATCCTCTGTGAAAGTTTTCGCCCCAGTAGAGGGCTTCCCTCTAGGCTGCAAGGGTCCTTGGGAGTCTTTGATGTTCCTGAAAATGACTGTCTCCTCCCCTGTTCCTTCCCTCTTGGAGGCTTCCTGTGGTCCCAAATCGCAGTCTTTATGGGAGGGAGCGAAGCTTTTTCTTACCCATTTCACCTCCTCTGAGGGAGACTCCAGTCCCTCCACCCTCTGTTGTATGGCTGTGTGGGTCTCTCAGACGTTTTTTTGTGCTGTGTCTGGATGTCCTCTGTTGGAATATGAATGTCCTTTTCGTTGTATCTTGGAGGGGAGAGATTACGCCGCCATGATGCTGATGTCACTCCCCATTGCTTTTTTGTTTTTGGTATTTTTTTTGGTTGTTAGTATAGGAAAAGGACACATGTCAACAATACCAATACCAATTTGCAAAAGCTACCAAGCTCATAAGTTATTTTTTAAAAAATAAAAATAAAGTAACAGTTGTCTCTGGACTGAAATGTGCAGTGTGGCCAGGCCTCACCTTCAACAAAGTCTGGGGCCATCTCATGGACTAAGAGCTGGCGCTCCCCAAGTCCTCCTGACATTTAGGACACCTGGTTCCCAATCACTCCTGCTGGCAGGGCTTGCCTTCCACAAGCACCTCAAGGGCAGTGTAAATCTCAGCACAAACTCACAGGTATTCGCTTTACTTGCTAGTACCCAACTATTTCAAGTAGGAAAAGCTGCCAACAGCACATTAAATGCTGCCTCAACCTGGGAGTCAACTTCCTCTAGATTCCAAAACTAGTCCCAGCCCAGTGTCAAGCCTGTTACCCTTGATGTACCTGGATAGGTCGGAGCAAAGTGTTTGAGAATATGGTCCTGGGAACACGTGCTTTCCTGCTCTGGGCCATTGCTACTGGCACACAAACACCTAGTTCCCCCCAGCTTAAAAATGGAAACAACATGCCCCGTCTTGGCCCCCCATCCACCTCAGACAACAGTCTGTTTCCCTGCTCCCGTGAGAGCTGCTGTGTCTGTCTCCAGTTCCTCACGGCACCCACTCCAGCCAGGCTTCTCCCAGGTGAACTGCCCTTACAAAGATACCGATAACCTCACTTGCCAGATGAATGGTCAATTTTCAATTCCTCACTTTATTTTACCTTGAGCAGCATTCAACACAGCTGCTCACTTACTCCTTCTTGAAATTCTTTTCTTGGCTTCCTTGACACCAAGTCCCTCACCCGACAAGCACCCCACCTTGCAAACTTGCTCCTCCTACAACCTTCCCAAGCTCAGTAATGGTCACTTGATTCTTTCACCATTCAGCTGAAAACCCCAGTCATTCCTTACGCCTCTGGTTTGCTCGAACCTTACATCCAGCACATCAGCAAATTCTGCTTGCTCTATCTTCAAAATATATCCAGAATGCAACCATCTGTCCTGGATTCTACTGCCACAGCTGAGGCCCCTCACACACTCACCCCTCACCAAAGTACTGCAGCAGCCTCCCGACTCTCTCCCACAGCACAATGCCGAGCCCTCCACAGGGCACCTGAGAGAGCATTTGAAAATGCAAGCTGAAGATTTCAGGCTCTGCATGAAACCCTGCAGTAGCTCTCCACCAAACTCACAATGAATGTGAGGGCCCCTCCAATGCCTAAAAGGCCCTCATATCACTCTGACCTCATCTCCTTTGTCTTTCCCCCAATTCACTCTGCTCCAGCCACTCTGGCCCCTGGTCATTCCTTGAATGTGCAGGCATGTCCCTACCACAGGCCCCTGCGTCTGCCACCATGTTCTGTCCCAGGCTCAAAGGCCAGGCCAGGATGGCCCTCACCCACTGCACTCCTTACCCCTTCCCCAGTTCATCCTTTCCCTAAGGCACTCACCACCATCTGACATCCAGCACTTCTTTGTTTCCTCTCTCTCCTCGCCTGCAAATCAGCTCCATGAGGGCAGAGCCTTGTACTGCTGTGTCTCCAGTGCTTTGAACAGTCCCCAGCCAAACAGGAATTTAGTGAAAAAAATCCAAAATTTGTTGAATGAATGAATTTATGGTGGAACTTGATTTGATAATTGCATCTGCTGGCATTGCTAACAGTGGTAGTCAGGATTCTAAGAAAACAGGAATGCATCTGCATGGTCTAAGACTGATGAAGTGCACCCCACGAAAACACCAGGAAAATGCCAGGTGCAATGGAAACACAAAGTCTAACAGACATTAGTACCTGTTAATTGACTTACCTTTTTCATATGATGGTACATTCTCTTGCAACAATTTGGTAAGCTGTACTGTATTTAAATGTAAAAACCTCAGTTGTTCTCGCATTGGTTTCCCTTCTATGGCTGGGAATAAGAGATGGCCTACACTGTTTTTTGGAATTGGCAGACCAAGCCCTATTGCTAGTGTTGCAGCCAAGTCAGTCTGCTGAACGTGCTTCGGATGTCTGATATCACCTAGAAAAAAGACAACAGTTTAAGTGACAGGCTCTAGGACACGTGTGATGGTAGTTATTCTCCAAGCTGACCTTCTACAACTAATGTAAGTCAAATTACTCATCTCTTCCCACCATTCCATGTGGATTCATACAGAAAGCAGCTTGCTGTTTTTTATGTCCATAAATTTACTGAACACCCATGCTGTGTAGAGCGCGGTGTGAGTTTTGGAGCATGGGGTGGGCATGCAGTAGGAGGTAGGGCAGCAGATGCTGAGGGATGGTGGCTTTGGTGAGGTCGACAGTCAGCCCCCTCAACAAGGGTGAGGGCAGGATCACCGGTGGCCCTGCTCCTCTGGGTTCAGAGTGGTCCGCGCGGCTGCACAGAGAGGCTGACACAGCCACTGCAGTGCCTCCTGAGCAGTAGCAAGTACCTCTACTGGGGAGAGTGGAATGAGGCTGGTTCCACTGGGCTGAGTCCCATAACCAGCTCTGACAAGCACAGCGGCTTCCTACTGAGGGCCAAGCCACTAGAGTGCTTCAAGCCCAGCTGTGGTTGGCTGTCCTACTACCCCTGTAATGTCAGGACATGGGGCTCAGGCCCCTGCTCTGCTGTCATTCAGTAGGAGACTGTTGACAAGAAACGCAACTTTCCTTTCTGTAAAGAGGGCACCCAGCCCCCACATCCCAGAAGCCACAATGCAGGTCTGCAAGGGGCTGAGGGCCACCAGGAAAGTCTGCCCAGGAGAGGTGTTGCTCAGTCCAAGTCTGTTAGATACACCAGGGTGAGTTTGTGCAGGTTTTACTGTGATTGCGGTAATTTTGGGTTGTATAGAATTTTTCTTTTAATTTGTTAAATTTATTAATCTCTTCTTGATCACCCTCTACTGATGGCTTCTGGGTTACATTTAGAAAGAGCTTTTACATTCCAATATTATTACTTGTTTTCTTCTAGTATTTTCTTATATTAAGTGCTTTGATCTGAAACAAAACAAAACAAAACCCAGAACAAAAAGCCCACCTTAACCTGTTCTGGGCACTGTTATGGTGGTGGTGCTGGTGCTGTCACTCTGAGACCATTGTGGTCACTATGCAACACTAATTCTATCATAGCTGGGGTTGTTGACAACCAGGATTCTAAACTTGGGAGGAAGACAGTACAGACGTAAGATCTAAGAAATTAATCTTACAGTAGTGAATGTGAACCACAGGTATCAATGCAAACTCAAGATTAATTTTATCTTACAAAGATTTCCTTGCTTTGTCCAGAAATGACAACTAAGCCAGTATCCACAAGCACCACTAGCACTCAGATGGTGGTTCTCAAAGACTCCTTTCCACTGAAAGGAACCAGGGCATCTTGGAGAAGCTGCTGGTCCCAGGTGCAGGGAGGGGACTGTGTGTGAATGGCTGGAACACCTTCTCAGACCAGGCAGCAACAGAGTGCTCAGAGACACTGACATCTTTGAGACCTTAAAGTCAGAAGGACTCAGGAGCTGATCTGAAAATGCTCCCACTGGCCAAAAGTAGGACAATTTGAACATTAAAAAGACTAATATCCGGCTGGCCCCATGGCCGAGCGGTTAAGTTCGTGCGCTCTGCTGCAGGCGGCCCAGTGTTTCGTTGGTTTGAATCCTGGGCGCGGACATGGCACTGCTCATCAAACCACGCTGAGGCAGCGTCCCACATGCCACAACTAGAAGGATCCACAACGAAGAATATACAAGTATGTACTGGGGGGCTTTGGGGAGAAAAAGGAAAAAATAAAATCTTTAAACAAAAAAAAGACTAATATCTACAATGAATTGAAACAAATAAGATATGCTTAAATACATGAGTTCACAATGTTACTAAAAAGAACAGCTAACTGATCATAGTTGAAGCACGCTAGTGAACTCATAGTAACTCATTCACCGATTTGAAACTGGTAACTAAGTGGAAAGAATAACTCATCATTTATCCAATCTCTTTTATATAAATGGTAGTGCTGGGTATCCGAAAAGTAGATGGGGCAAGATTCTCTGTATAGAATTATTCTGGCTAGTTAACGAAAAAAAGAATTATAGAATTAAAATACCACTATTTGCAACCTCTAGTGAATTACTGGCCCTAGCTGATCATCAGTGGCTCCTGACATCACAATACAGCAGACAGTCAGACATCATGTACTTCCTGTTAGAAACAGCCTTGCCAAAACCCACCAAGCCAACAGGATCTGAATCTGCTCCCTCGTGCAGGCCAGACGGGATTTACAGGATGGACAAAGAACACGTCAGCAGACAATGCAGAGAGACTCCACAGGACACACAACCAAGTTTCTTCAGCAAATAAATCATGGTAAAATAAAAGATGATGGGAGTGGGGTCCTATAGATTAAAAGAGACTTAAAGAGACATATCAACAAATTGCAGTACATGGAACTTATTTGTATCCTAATTCAAACAAACTAGAACAACTAGAGAGAGAGAGAAAGACAGACTTTGAAGACTGACTATTTGATGATATTAAGGAATTAATGCTCTTTTTAAAATGTGATAATGGTATCAAAATTATGTAAAAAGATAAAAAGAGCGCATATCTTTTAGAGATCTGCTTCCAAGTTACAAAGGAGAGGGCAGATGAGTGAGGTTACAGATGATATAAGATTGGCCATAACTGGTTGACAACTGTTGAAGCTAGGTGGTGGGCTTGGGCGTTTACTATACTATTTTTATTACTTTTATGTCTGAAAATTTCCATAATAAAGAGTCTTTACAAAGGATTACAATGTTTTGATCCGGGATTTATAATGGTTAAAGAATGAGGTAGAGACTTAACATTATCTTCATCCAGAAGGTTAGCCAGATGTCCTAACATCATTTGTGGAATGCCCTGTCTTTTTTCCACTAACCTGCAATGCCACCGTTGTCCCCAAAGGCCCATCCATACTGGGGTCTATTTTTGGCCTCTTGATTTTGCTCCGTTGATTAGTGTGACTTGCTCTTGCCAGCAGTAACTATTTTAGTAACTAATCCTATCACAGGGCAAGCCCCATTACAGAGGAAGTTTTATCCTGCAGCAACAGGAAGCCATTAAAGAATTAAAAGCATTTCAGAAAGCCTTTCTTGCAGTCCTTCCCCCACCTGCTTCCACCTCCGTTGGCCCCCACTGCGTGCCATGTATAGCTAAGCCATCTTCTAAACATTCAATCAACAAATACTGATGAGACATCCACCAGGTGCCAGGCACTATGCCAGGCTGGTGGGATAGAACAGTAAGACAAAACAGGCAAAGCCCCTCCCTTCATGGAGCTTACATCCTGGTAGCAGGAGGAGACAATAAGATAGACCCGTTCTGCCCAGTGTGAAGGTCCAGGAAGAGGCATGCTCTTCCTCCCAGACCCTCTGACCCTGGACGGATCTAGATCTGTGCTTCTCTTACTGGGAGGTCAGGACTCTGGGGTGGGTAGTAGCAGGCTGGGGTATATAAATCACATGGTACACAATCCAAAATTGCTTATTTTTCAGAATAATAAACACTTGAACATTTTTATTAAAATAAGCAACAAAAATTTGCACGAATTTTAAGATAAAAATAAGCCTTCAAACAACTATCTAGAACAGTGGTGTGAGGAATTCTATGGACCTGCTTGTCAGTGAAACAAGCACAACTGGTAAAAATCATAAAAACCACCACCACCACCACCACTTACAGCCTCTGGAAACCATCCAGGGGCAAAGAGCAAATGAAGAACCTTTATTCAAGAAAACCTGCTAACACTTGCTAAGAACAGGACAGGATGAGGCACTTGGGGAACCATGTCCCTGATAAATAAATGAAAAGCAACAGGATACACTGGAGTATATGAGGAAGCCATTTGATTTAAAACTAATTCGGCCTGACCTTGTTTTTCCAAAAAGGACTGACGTGGCATGTGGAGCAGGCATTGTGCTTCTGCCTTAAATATTTACAATGTCCCAAAGACAAGAATAATGTCCCTAAAGACAGGGATGCGGCTTCCCCCTGATATCAGCGTTTCTTTAAGGATAAGCATCTCTTCCTGGGAATTAAGGATTAATTACCGACCTGCTGTGCTCACCTTGTGACCACTGACCTGCTGACTACTGATCTGCTGAGCCAGCTAAGGATCTCGTGACTACTATAAAATGAACATTCCTATCATACGTGATGCATGCTATTTGATGGTATATAACCATTCTGTACACCCTACTTCTTCAGTGCCCTTCCTTCTTTGGGGAAGGAAGGCCCCAGGCTAGTCCTCAGATCTGGCTCATAATAAACGCACCCCAATTTTGATTGATTATGGATTATTTACGTTGACAACCTGCTCCCTCCCTCTCCTCCCAGCTCAGTGGGACAGAAACTCCAAGGAGTGGGTGTAGCCAAGAACACAGGGCTCCCTCTCCCCCAGGTCCCTGTCGGGGGCTCTGTGCTCCCCCAAAAGGGGTGAGCTGCCAGCACTGCTCATCCTCTGCAGCCATGTGGCACAAAGGCTTAATCCCAGGGAGTCGCTGGGAGCCCCATTTTTCCATCCAGTCCCACAGAGAGTCTCTACCCCACGTACGACAGCCCCAAAATATTGGGGCCCACTCACCCTTACCCCAGTTTGCTTGTGGGGTGGAGGCTGCCCCCTGGGAGAAGCTAGTGGGGAAGACCAGAGGCAACTACATAGAGCTCTGTGTGTAAAGCAGGTGTCACTCCAAGAAAAGGGGATGCTGCCCCTGCCCACCACTAGGAACTGTGGCTCAGAGATTTTGCCCAGGGAGACAGGCAGGCCAGAGAACAGAGCAAAGCTCCCCTAGAAGAACTGACATTATTTGAAACAGAACGTGGAGAATTCCAGCCTAAGGCTGCTCTTGAAAACAATGGAGATTTTGGAGGCAAGCAACTAGGAGGAGGCTGGTAACTTCATGAGAGGAACAAGCTAAACCACAGGCCAAATGGCAGTTCACCAAAGAGAGCCAGGGAAAACAACAGCTGAGCAGGGCTCTCCTGGGGTCAGAACAACTTCAATGACTGCCCTTGAAAAATGACCCCTGCAAAGGCGCCCAAATATAATGAGATTGGACCATGGAACACATTTATCATAAGTTGTCGAAAACAAGAGAGCAGTTAGCTGGCAATGAGTTGGAGCCTAACAGCTGGTGTGACAGCAAAGGAGGCAGCAGCTTAGCAGAGCCATCTTGGAAAGAAACAGTCAAAGGGCACCACCAAGATGCTGTCATCCCAGGGAGGCCATGCCCCGAAAGGAGTGACAGCAGAGACTATGCACTGCGGGGGAAGACACCACTGAAATGGTTCAGCCAAGTCACCCAACAAACAAACCAGCAAACAACAATGACAACAGGCCCTGGTGGGGAGGGATCAGTATCCAGAGTTGCTACCATATGTTATTTAAAACGTTCAGTTTTCATCGAAAACTATGAGCAGCTATGCAAAGAAACAGTAAAGTATGGCTCAAACAGAAAAAAAAAGTTGGCAACAGAACATTCTGCCCTTCTGCAAAGGGCCCAGATGTCAGAGTTAATAGACAAAATCATCACAAATATGTTCAAAGAACCAAAGAAGTGTGTGAAATGTGTGAAGAAGTAAAGGAAGGTGTGGTGATGACAATGTCTTATTGGCGTATCACTCTGCAACAGAAAGGAATGGAGTCCTGGTGCGTGTTACAACGTGGACCAGCCTTGAAAACACGCTCCTGAGTGGCAGAAGTTAGTCACAAGAGACCATATATTCTAGGGTTCCTCTTACAGGTAACGTCCAGAAGAGGCAAATCTACAGCCAGAAAGGTTAGTGGCTCCTGGCAGCTGAGGTGGGGTGGGTGGATTACTGGGCTGGGGGAAGAGGGAGTGACGACTAAAGAGGCGATGATCCCAAAGCTGATACTGACGATGGCTGCCCAACTCTGAATGAACTAAAAGGAATGCAGTCCTGGCTCATAAAACGAGCATAGGGAGAATACAGAACATAACTATTCTTAAAACAAACAAACAAAACAATGGAAAACTCAGACCCCACGGTTCACTGAGGTCAGCTTTCTAAGCAGCGCTTGCTGGAAGTCCACGTGCAGCCGCCTGGCCCTGGCCCTTCCTGGCTTTGAGGAGGCAGTCAGGCCTCCCAGGGCAGAGATTCTTAAGTATGCATCTTAGAGATGACACATCAGCACTTCAGTTAAACGACAACCCTAACATTCCTATAATGTGAAAACATAAGCTTAGCTGTCTCTTTTCCTCCCCAGAGTACAAGCTCCCTGAGGGTGAAGGCTGTCTGTGGTGCTGGCAAGGTGCCAGGCTTACCAAAGGTTCTCAGGACACCTGTGCTGGATGATGGACAGATGGATGGAAAGGGTGTTTCTGGGGTGGGGCTCCCACCCGGGTGGGTGAGCTACATGGGACCCTGCTTTGGGTGTGCAGTGTGGGAAAGCTGGGTGTAAAAGGCTGGTGCTCTGGAGGGTACTGCACGCACTCACTGGAAGGCAACCTCCAGCTGAGCACCCAGGAAAGGTTCCGGTTACAAGAGCCAATAACTCGTATCCTAAGAGGTCAGGTGTCCAAGAGGAGGAAGTGCTCTAGAAAGACAGAAGGAAATAGGTGGAAGTTCTTCTCTGACCAATCCTCACTCAAGTGGAAAATTCATTCCACAAGTATTTTTTGGCACCTATCACATGCCAGGCAGCGTCCAGGCCAAAGGCATACAGTGATGAACCCAACAGACTTGGTCCTGATCAGTTCCAGCTTAAAGTGCAGTGAGGAGCCAGGTATTACAGGAATTGTACAAGTCAGTCTGTAATTACAAACCATACTAGAATGGTGGTAGAAAGCACTGGGTGCCATGAGAGACTAACAGAGGGAAGGTAATTTAGCTTCATGGGTGAACAAGTGATATTAGCTGAGATCAAGGATGAGTAGACAAGCAGGCTGAGGAGCCGAAGACACCAGAGTGGGCACATGCAAGGAAGAGCTTGTCACTCAGAGGACCTGTGCGAAGGGCAGAGGCCAGGATAAGGTGAATAAAGGGGAATGTGGCTCGAGGTGAAGCTGCGAGGTAGGCTTTTTACTCTATCTAAGGTTCAGTTACTGAAAGGTTTTGTGTATGGGAGACTGGGGATGGTCTGGAAAGTGTGGAGCAAGGGAGAAGGAAGATCAAGGAGGTCGCCCAGGTTTCTGACGTGAAGAACCACTGGTGCCGTCTGCTGACAGGGAAACATGGGTATAGACTGGATGTGAGGCTGTTATCTGTGCTCTGCCTCTGGGAGACCAAGTGGAGGAGTCAGAGAGGCAGCCGAGGAGACAGTCTGGAGGCCAGGAAAGAGGAGACAGCTAGAGGGATAAATGTGACCAGTGTGAGCCTATTCATGGCACTGAAAACCTGGAAGTGTGGTGCTGGCCTGGTGGCATACTGGTTAAGTTTGCATGCTCCACTTTGGCAGCCTGGTGTTTGTGGGTTTGGATCCCGGCACAGACATACACACCACTCATCAGCCATGCTGTGGTGGCATCCCACATACAAAATAGAGGAAGACTGGCATAGATATTAGCTCAGGGCCAATCTTCCTCACACACACACACACAAAAAGAAAACCTGGAAGTAGACGAAGTCATTTCAGGAGTGAGTGTGGAATGAAACAAAGAGGCAGTCCAGGGGCTGGCTCCGTGGCCGAGTGGTTAAGTTCGCGCGATCTGCTTCGGCAGCCCAGGGTTTCGCCTGTTTGGATCCTGGGCGCGGACATGTCACTGCTCCTCAGGCCATGCTGAGGCAGCATCCCACATGCCACAAGTAGAAGGACCCACAACTAAAATATACAACTATGTACTGGGGGGACTTGGGGAGAAAAAGCAGAAAAAAAAAAGCGGCAACAGTTATTAGCTCAGGTGCCAATCTTAAAAGGAAAAAGAAACAAAGAGGCAGTCCAGAACAAAGGGCCAGGGCCCGGAAGCTAAGCCAGCAAAGACGACCAGACAGCAGAGTGCGACAGGAGGAAAACCAGACAAAGAGGGGGGGTCCCAGACCAGAGGTCTGCCCTGCCAAAGGGGGCTGAAGGATCACGTGAGAAGAAATAAAGCGTGTCCATGCTGGAATAAACAGCAAGCATGTTGTGAAGCACATTGAGGAGGCAGAGGCCACGCTCAAGGGAGGGCGAGGGAGAAACGGCGGATGGCTGTGAGGCACGCTGGCCCGTGTGCTTGGGATGGAGAGCTGGGGTGTCTTAATGCTGATAGAGGGTCCCTCAGCCAGTCCTGACCTGACTGGTCCTACGACTCTTGTTGACATTGCTATGAAATACAGAGTTTCAAAAAATGGATACTTTTTAAAAGTTTAATTATCAGTGTTTCTTTCAGTTCACATATGCAGTTCAGATGTCTCTAAGCTTCTGGTAACTTTTATTAACAGTTCCAGAGATCCAGGCAGTGACATTCATACAACAAAATTCCCACAAAGAATATTTGTATTTTAGGAATCAGGGCAAGAAATGTGAACTCCAGACTCTGACCGCCCCTTGCCCTATTCATTTTCCTTCTCACATTGCTCAGGAAATTGCAAACTTACATGGCTTCCAAAAAATGGTTTTTAAAATTAAAATCAGGCTACAGAAAACAGAGAAATAAAATACAATTTCAAAACGTTAAACACCCTAAATTCTCACCAGGTTTCCTTTCGAATGCAGAGCTGACCAGGAGCAAAGGGGTGCTCACTTCCTCTGTGGAAGAGGCCCCGTGGCCTCCGGTCTCAGACATGCCATGATCGCCACAGAGAACCAGCAAACTGGGTAAGAGAGTCTCTCTCTCCTGCAAGGCAAAGGAGAAACTTTCATTGCATTCAGGCCAAGGAGAACAGTGATCTTGCCAAGAAAACAACTTCAGATTTTAGCTTTACTCTAAAAACAGTAGCTCTTTCTAAATGAGTTAGACCTTTTACCTATGAGTTTACAGCCAGATCAAACGTCAAGGTCAAATACTGTCATAAATAAAACAAAGAGAATCATATGGAGGTCACAGAGCACAGGAGGGTCATGTTTAGGGCCTCTGAGGGCAGACGATTTGGGTTTGGTTTCTCCGTTGCCACTTCCAACCTGTGACAGCCAGAGCACATTAGTCTTCGTGCCTCAGTCTCCTCATCTGTCAGAGCCGCCCCTCTGCCCCTGGGGCTCTGCTTTGCCTTTGCTGCCTCTTCACCTGGAATGCACCTTCACAGACGGCGCATCTTCCCCTCCCTCCCTTCAAGTATCTGCTTACATCTCACTTGTCCGCAAGGACGACTGCTCTGACCATGCTGTTTTAAAACTACAGCCTCTCTCTCAGATGCTGTTCCCTCCCCCATCCGACATTTTCCTGTGGCAGGAATCACTCTCTGGAATACTGATGGACTCCTTTATTATGCTGCTTCTTTGTCCCACCTGGCTAGAAACCCCACATATGCCCAGACAGGAACAGTGATAGAGAAGCAACAGTGATCTAGAGGGAAATCAGGAAACATTACTGGATGGATGGTGGACAGGTAGAGTTAAGAGCCGCTATTCTACAGGGTTGCTGGGGACTGAGTCAGTGCAGGTGAACGTCCAAATGACATCCAGACAGTACCCAGCACACGGCGCGTGCTCCGTTTGAGGAGGCTGAGTAAGGCAACCTGGGTTCACTTTAGAAGCTTTATTCCTTCTGGGAAACCCTGGCACCGTGACCTTCTAGCACCACACAATGCACCGCAGCGCACCTCACCTCTGACAGCAGCGCGGTGTGGATCTTCATTAGGACGCCGTCCATCTCGCTGAGCTTGCGCCCGATCAGGGGGCTGCTGGGCCCAGAAACGTGGCCAATGTGGTCCAGTCCAAGGTAGTGGAGGATTAACACATCCCAATCCCCTCTTTTTAATACTTTATCCAAATGCCTCGTAACATTCTCATCCACCTTTAATGGGGGAGACAAACACATGAATAGCTCCCCTAAGTTCCCTTGATCTTCAGTCTCCAGGGAAAAGTGACATGCACATTTTAAAATGTAAGGGTTTATTTTAGGTAACAGGACTTACAGGCATTAGAAAAGATTAAAAAACCTCCCCTCAAAAAAAGGTCACAAAAAATTAAATACACATTAGCATTAGATTAAGTTTCACTAATATCGTTTTAATGTCTCCAGGTTACAGATAAGACATATTATATAGCTAATTTAAATGAGCAAGGGTTGTTCTGACAAAAAAATTCCGTGGGGTCACTACTGGGGCTTAACTAAAGCTGAGCAGATGGCCAAGTTACTCAGTGTCAAGTTGTAACGAGGTAACTAAGGGCTAAGGGCAGTTAGCTAAGATAAGACAACCAAGAGTTCAAGTAACCAGCAGGGTGAAGCCGAGGGCATCTATGTATGTCCCACAAGAAGGCTGTTCTGGAGAAACAGACACAGCCCTCAGTGATTAACCGTTAGCCTGGTCAGCCCTGACCTTCAGCCCGCCCACCTCCCTCCCACTGAAAAACCTATCACAAAGACAAGTGTTTCTGAGTGACTGTACACACGACGGGGAAACTCAGCCACTGAAGGACAGTAAGTGCTGTGTCTGCCCAGGTCAGCTTCAGTCAAAGGTCTCAGTGTAAGCGTGATGGCAGATGTGCCAGCAGGCCCAGCAAAGTGAGAGTGTGGGTGGTTCAAGGCCATCCACCCCCATGCCAAGCTCAGACATAGAGGGGCCTCTGCACTAGGGCACCTCTGTCTGTCCCAGGGCCAACTTCTAACCATGGGTCTAATCATGCTCTTCTCCTTGTTCAAGACCGCACTCCCAGCTCGGGCTGATGCCCCTCAGGACCGGACTCTGCCCAGCTCACCGTCTAACCTCACACCTCCCCACTGGGGATGCTGCCCTACCCACAGGAGAACCAACAGCCTTGAGAATTCTAGGCAGGCCCTGCAGTCCTCAGGCTCTGCCTCACACAGATGCTGCCACCCATTCTGTCCACCTGGGAAGTCCCACTCATCTGTCAAAACTCAACTTCAAGGGCTCTTTGCTGAGAGGCCCTTCCTGATCCTCTGCACCCTGTCATCGGGTGCTCAGCTGGTCTAGGCTTTGGTCTCGAGAGAACTCTGCTCACACCTGCACCAGGGTTTAGGTTCCTGGGTTGCAACCGATCATGCAAACGAACAAGTTTTACAACTTCTCCATACTACTCCCAATGTATTAACAAAAGCCACACACAGAACAATATTTTCTCTCACTAAGGAAGAGGGTACTGGGCTCTATCTAGGATAACGTTTTTCTTATTTTAAAAACTGACCTCTGTATAATCTGACACAAAAAATGAGGTTGTTCCATCATATTCCACAAAATGCTTGGGGAATAACTTCACCCATGTTTCATCTCCATAAGAGATGATTCTTTTCCCAGCTGCTTTTGCCTGTGTGATCACGTTGTCTTCCAGCAGTGCAGGAGAATTGAGGTTCATGACGACATCAATGAAGCCAGGGACACTCCCTGTCATCAACGCCTGTAGGAGGAAATGTTCAAGAATTGGACCATGGAATCCAAAGTGTAGCATGGGAACGGGTGCCAAAGACCATTTAACAGATGAAAGAGGCAAGCATAACAGCAGGGCACCCCCAAAACTGGAGGCCAGGTCAGTGTTAGGACAAAGGGGAAAAAGCCACACACAGATTCTGGGTAAAACTAGCAAACTTAACGGTGAAGACGTGACCATGTCTCAAGTGATGAGAGGACAGAGGCGGCTGTGGTGTAGGTGGACAATGGTGGTGGCTGGAAAAGAAGCTACAGGTTATGAGAACAGAAGCCAAGAGCAAAGTGTGGCATGCAAAGAAAACACAAACCTGTGCATTCAGATCCACGTCAGGTCCTCATCTACGCTTCAATTCTGCTCCATGTGACAAGCAAACTCCATATGCACATCTCATAACCTAGTGATTCTAACGTCCACCCCAGAGGGGAACAGCCTCTCACACACCCAGGGAGGAAGGCAGTCTCTAGGCACAAAATCTCAGGAAGTCTCACAGGAAACTGGCCCAGGGATGCTGGTGGGACATCCTGCCAAGCTGCACCATGATTTCTGGGAGGAGAGGGTGGGTGTGACATGTCCTCACATCTTTCTGATAAAGAGTTAAGTCAACAATCTGCCTCATTTTAGCACAGAGCCTAAGAGGCCAAAGTTATGGGTCACAGGTCTCCATGATCTGGAGTTATCCGATAACCCATGATGCTGGCATCCAGGGACCTGTGCAGTGAAAATAAACAAGAATCTGGATAATGCCAACAGGTGTAATAATTTTGTCAAGACTTCTTTAGCAGCAAATAAATGCAAATATGAATTAACTGGACTTCTGGAATGCCAGAGTGAGGAGCTCGGCAAATCCTCTCCCCCAACAGCAATAAAACTGTCAAAACCAACCATTTCAGGACTTTGAAAACTCCCCAAGGATATACAACAAAGGACTATTAAATCTTGCTAAGAGCTGTGAGTACCTGTGGTGTTTTAACATGGGCTACTCCCCTGTCCCACCTTCAGCTCTGTGATGCAGGAGCCATCGAGACCAAGAGGGGCCCACCTGATTTGGGGCTCCATGGAAAACTCTCACACCAGGGATGTGATAAAAGCAAGAGGCTAGGCCAACATCACAGCTGCCTGAAGGTTCAATGCTGACTGTAGTAAGAGATCAGGCCAAAATTTAAAAAGGAGATCTGGGGAATGAGACAGTTGTAGTAGATATCTGTAAACTCCCACATATTCCTGGAATCTGGAAGCCTGTGTGCACATATGGGGCTGAGTGTACACTCAGGAGAGACCAGAGGGGGCTGAGTTACCTGTTCCTTCCAGCTGAACAGGAGGCCTGGCTAAAACAGAAAGTGAGAGTCAGGGCAGACTTATAAACTGTCTGAACGGTGAGCATGTGGGCCAACCCACACATTGCTCCCTGCAAAGGGTACAGACCTTACCATGTAGTGTGTTTAAGCAGAACCTTTGCCCAATCATTGGCTAACCACTAAACTATGCTGACTCAGGGTGACCGTTAGGAAGACTGGCTTAAAAATAAAAACAAGAATTGAAAAAAAAAACAAAACGAGCAGAGACATCAGTTACTGCACACTCTGGGGAAGACAGACTCTATAGAACTACTTCAGGCAAATCATTACACAAACAAACACAGCGACAACACCCACCACTCCTGGGGTGGGGATCAGACACCAGAGGTGAGGTGGGGGTTGCATGGATATATACATTTGTTACATCTCACTGACTGTACACATAAAAACACGTGTGCTGTATTCTATGAAACTTCTATCTCAATAAAGCTACTTTTCAAAATGTGAGCCTCTCTCTCACCCCAAAATTCTACTCCCTAAAGGTAACCAGTTACTTTTGGTGAGTATTCTCTTACACTTTTCTGTGTATGTGTACAATCAAAAATATACAGATACATATTTTTTACCAAAATGGTAACAAACTACATAAACAATTCTGCAACTTCTTTGTGCTTTTCAACTAATAATATATCATGAACCTCCTTCCCCAGAAAACACACAGCTACTTCATCTTTTTTTTTAACAGCTACAAAGTACTCCAGTGTTTGGATGTATAATATATTTAACCAATACTGTTTTAATGGTCATTTATCTTAAAAAGCTTTCAAAAGGAGTGCCATTTGAGCTGTGAAACAAGTGAGAGAAACCCCAAGCAGACTGGAGGAGGAAGGCCTGCAGGGGGGCTCTGGCCCATTGCATGTGGTCAATTACACCAAACAGGAAGGATGACCACTTCACTGCTGAAGGAAGACTTCTCTCTCTGCTTGGCAACAGCCCAGCCAATGAGAAACACAGCAGTCCAACCAATGAGAAACACCACAGCCCAGCCAATGAGAGACGCTGCAGCTCAGCCAATGAGAATGTGTAGCTGCCCTGAACTGTTCCTCTCCCCCAATGACCCTTCCTTTAGAAGAGGCCCCCCCCCCATTTCTCTATAAAAGCAGCTCCCCCTCCTTTGTTCCCTGGATTTGCCTGTGGTTCACCAGAGCACACACATCTTGAACTGCAATTCTTTTTGCTATCCCCGAATAAACTCATTCTGCGGATAAAATAACAGGGGAATTTGTTTTTTAAGTTGACAGAGCTGAGACCTGAAGGTTGGAGTGTTGTCAGGTGAGGTGAGCTGGGGCTTTCCAGGGGGAAATGCAGCAAACTGCAAAGACCCCAAGGCAGAAAGAGGGCAGCACACCTGCAGAACTGAGCTGTGTGTGATTGGCGTGGACGAAAGACAGAAGAAGAGGGAAAGCAGCTCAGATGAGGCTGGAGAGGTCAGCAGGGGAAAGCCCACACAGCCTGGAGGCCTGGGTTAGTAGGCAGAGTGTAAGCCCTGGAAGCTTTAAGAGAGGAGTGGCATGACCTGATTTGTGTTTGCACGGGATCTGGACAAGAAGTGGTGCTGGGAGACTTTTACAGTGCAGACTGGAGACTACAGAAGACTGGACCTAGATGGTGGCAGCAGAGGTGCTGCTCACTCCAGCTACATTCACACCCACAGCAGGAAGAACTGTTTACCTCATTTCTTGTGAAGAGTGGGTTACCATCAATCTTTAAATGTCTACAGTGTGATAGACAATTGGCCTTACAGATTGTTTTAGTTTCCCTTGCTCTGATTACTAGTAAAGTCAAAAATCGTTTCATACATTACTGGCCATTTCGAGTCTTCCTTTGCGGATTTCTTTACATCCTTTGTCCAGTTGCTACTGGATAGTTGTACTTGATCAGATCCTCTTTACATATCATGGGCTTAACATCTTTTTTGTTACATCAGCTGTAAATAATTTTTCCAGTTTATCATCGGCCAGTTGACTTTGTCTATAAGGTCCTTTGCCACATAAAGGTTTTCTGTTTTCATGTAGTCGAATCTGTCCATCCCTTCCTCTAGGACTTTCACAAGGCACTTCCCTTCTTCTCACACTAGCTTGGGTTCCCACTGACATTTTCAAGGAGGGCAGGGACTACTTGGTATCCCCTTCACTCTAGGAAGCATGCAGGCAGCAACTGAGTTGCAGCTGGTAGTCCTAGGAAGTCGAAAGAGAGCTTGAGTCTGTCACTTTCTTGGAGGTTTTCCCGTGGTTTCAGTGGCCTTGGGAACAGTAGATTCTTGCCTTCTGAGAATTAAGGAGGGCTCTGCAGAGACTACTGAAAAAGGATTTGACCTGGGCACCCTATTCTCCAGCACTGCTATATAATGCAGTGTGACCAAGAGGCTTTGGAACCAGACAACAGAGGCTCGTGATCAGTTTCTGAGGCCAGTTGGGTGATTTTACCACTTCAAGCCTGTTTCCTCATTTGGAAAATGGAGAAGACGGAAGTGCCTATCTCATGGAGCCTATCTCATGGGGTTTTTGTGAATGTGTGTGAGATAATGCCTGCATTCTGTACTCACTGTAGCCAGTCATCAGTAACTGCTCCTTATTATGACTATAAATTCCCTGAAGAAAGGAAAGGCATTCAAAAATTATATAATTTTAGAAAGAAGCTACTGCAGGATCTTAACATGTGAAAGTGCTATCAGGGATATTAGTCTTGAGATGTTAAGATCAGTGTTTCATGACAATTGTATCAAAACTCTGAGATTAACTAAGTCCCTTCCCAATCTGGTGCCACGGAAGGGGACACATTTCTTAGCCAACACTACCCAATCCTAACAAATTCCAGAGCTGTGTAACCCTAACTCCAGTATGGACTTCCTGTTCTAGCTCCTCCCTGATAAGGAATGAGTAGCAACAACCTGTAGAGGACTGAAAACAAAATGAAATACTGGTTTTGTGAAATGAAACAAATGGGCTGGAGATGGGAGGCCCTAAGAACCACAGTGGCCAACGTGCAGGTCTGATTAGAACCTGGAGCTTGCGCACTCACTTACACATTTTCTTACAAGTCAGCCCAGATTCCTAATAACACTTTTCTTACCAAAACGGAGGAACAGTTTCCTTCCAGACTTCTCATAGAACAGATAAAGAAATCAGTGCTCCTGATGGCCTGGAGTCTGGATGCCCTTCTTCCAGCACGACAGGTCTCAGCAAAATGACCACTCCTCAGAGGCCATCCTTGAGCATCTTGACTAAGGTGCCCTCTCCCACTCCCCACAACTCTCCATTGTGTTCTCCTCCTTGATTTCTTCCACAGCATATATCGCTTTCTGAAACTATCTTATTAATTTGTATACTTATGTATTTTCTGTCCCCTCAATTAGAAAGTAAGCTCCATGAAGAGAGGACAGTTGCTGTCTTATTCTTCACCGAATCCTTCTTATCTAGAACAGTGTGTGGCACATAGTAGATGCTCAATAAATATTGCCAAATGAAGGACACATCACATCCAAAAGTGGCAGAGAGTGGGAAACGCAAGAATACAAAGTCAGTGAAAGATGTGGCATTAATCCTTTCAATCCCAGACTCTTCTATTCATCCAGTAAACATGTACTGAGTATCTACTAAATGCTGCCCCCAAGCTTTAAATGAAGAGGTGGCTCCTTCTCACCAAGTAGTAAGGTGTCACATGATCAGCCATAGATGTAACGCTCAGCCAGCAACTTTTATACCATGCTAGCGTGCAATATATTCACAGACAAACATTTAAGCTCCTCTGTCTCCTTCTGCCTCCTCCCATTTACTCATCCTTCCAGTGTGAGCTTGAATGTACTTTCCTCAGACAGGCTTTTCTGACCCCCCCCAACTACACTGAGCCCACCCCCCCAACAATGAGCACCATGTCCTGTTCTTCATCACACATTAACCGCACTTTATAACTGCATGTTCATTTGTATGTGCATTTAATGGCTACATCTCTCATTAGAGACTAAAAGCTCCATGAAGGCCGAGATACCATTTGGCTTCAACTGTGTACCTGTTACAATGTCAGCACATAGGAGTTGCTCAATAAATAGTTCTTGAGCCTATCAATAAAGCTTACTTTTATCCTTACCCATAGTTCTTGAGTGAGGCACTATGCACTTCAAAGCCACTCTCAGTAGGCTGAATAGCTGAAGGTGGTTTATCCAGCAGAAACTGTGATAGCTGTCAAGGCCAGATAATGCTGGTTTGGCCACTGTGTATACTACAATTTTGGACTAGTCTTTTAATTTATCTGAGTTTGCTTCTTCATTTGTAAAGTCCAGAGATTGAGCTAGATAATCCTAAAGGCTCCTTCCAGGATTGTAACTAACCCACTGATGATTAAAGAAGAAAGCAGGTTAGCAAGGAGGATGGTAACTCTTGGATTAGGCTAGCCTGGACAATCTGGCTCTAAATCCTTTATGGTCCCCATGAGTTTTGACTACTTGACGAGGGGCACAAATCTTGGGTCTCAGCTCCATCCCATCTGTGAGGCTTCTTCAGCATTCTACTGCCCCAGCCAGGTTGACAGCACCAAACTAATTTCTATTTAGTTAAAACTGGGACTCCAAGTAAAAGACTACTCTAGAAAAGACTACTCTAGAAAGCCCCTCTAAACCTCTGAAGGAGTCAAACCATGATCTATAAAACATTAAGTCATACCATTTACCTTGATTCGAGGCATAGTAACTGTAGGTGGCTTTGCTTCAGCCACAAAACTGTGCGATGCTCCTTTTTCCACCAGATAAGTTGTATAGGGCATAAATTTCACACCCTTTGAGCCAAAGACAAAATCATCTCTCAAGGCGTCTATCAGCACAATAACAACTTTACTGAAGAGAGGTGGTGGGAGCTTGGTCCAGTTGGAACTGGCTCCTAAAAGTGTTTGAAAGAAAAAAGGAAATTCAATTTTAAACTCTATTTAGCACTCAAGCACCTTATATTTTAGTTTTTGCCTACTTCTCCAGCACATATCCTGTGAAATCTACATATCTCAACCTAAAGAAAAAGGCCTGTTCTCGGTAGACGGTACTGGGGGGGGGGGGGGGGGGCTGGGTAGGGTGCGCAAGCTCAGGGAGTCCCAGTATTAAGTAGTGAATTGCTCTTACCATGGTGAGGAGTACTGGGACCCGGGAGTCCCTTCATGAGGGCTCTGGAATGGGACATTTAGGGAGCTTGATCTAAAACAGTGCTGCAAGTAGGGGACAGGCAAGCATATTTGCAAACTGTTTGTAGGGTCAGTGGTTGGTAATGTGTGGACCTGGTCCAAAACGGGCAAGCCTTTACCTGGTATGTACTACTGGGTAGGTCAGGGCTAGGAAGGGGTCTATGCAGGGAAGTCTCAACCATTGTGAAAAAAGGGGTCTTGGAGGAATGTCATAGAAGAAAACACGAGAGGTCGACAGGAATCTTCTCTGTTGTGTTTTACTGAGCGAAAAGGGGGCCCAGAACAGGGAGTGACCCAAAGGCCTGTGCAGGGAAGGGGGCGTCACTGGATGAGTCGAGCTGGGGAGAAGCGGGAGCCTTTGCGGTGCCCAGGGAGGAAGGTCGAAGTAGGGCGGGTAGGTGGTTGACACAAAGCTCTAGGATACATAAGAAGAGGCTCAAAGGGTAAGAAGGGGGCTCTTGGTGATGGGGACTAGAATGGAAGAGACGACCCGGGAGCCCCGGGAAGAAGTCTGAGAGGCGGGGCTCAGAAGGAGAATCCTCCGGGAAGTGGGCGCGGGGAGCGGAAACGCCCGGGGCGGGGTCCGTACCAGCCGAGGGTTCGGGCGCTGGGGGCTCTGCTTGGTGCTTCGAGCTAGAAGAGGACCGAACCGGAGCCGGGAAGAATCCCCGAAGGAAGAGTACGACCCCGAGCACCTCGACCACTACGCAGCAGGCGGCGAAGGTCCCGGAGCCCAGCCGCATCACGCCCACCGGGCTCCGTGCTTCGCGACCCCAGCGCAAGCCTCGCCTAGCAGCTCCTTCCGGCTCCAAGAAACAGCCTCTGGGCAAGGGCGAACTGGCAGGGCTCACAGGCCCCGGCGCCCGGTGTCGGCTACGGGTGTCGTCACGTCCGCCGGCGCGCCGGAGATACGCACGAAGGGGGCGGGCGCTTCCCGATGCGTGATGACCCTGAGCTCTGGGACCTTTCCGTGTGTTTCCTGTGCGCCCACTCGCGAGGCCCCGCCCCTGCCACACCCACTTTGAGTCCCCGCCCCCGCGGGTCCCCGCCGCTGGCCGGCCGCCCTGCGTTGCCTGTTTCGCGGGTGGGAATAACTACCACGTGCCGTCCCTCTTGCTGGGATGTTTCGCGCGTATTGCCTCGTTCCTCCTCACATCAGCGTAGAGCCCTCACGTGTCTTGGGCAGGTCGTGCAGAGGACGCGGTGTCTGACCTGGGCTTCAAGTTGGGCTGCCATTACAGTACATTGCTAAGTGACCTCAAGAAGGTCAGCTGACTTCCTAGGTCTGGGCGTCCCTGTGCCGGATGGGACTCCAGGACATTGTTGGGGCCCCATCCAGACCCTTTACTGGCCACTGCCTCCAGCTTCAGCTCCAGCTCCTGCTCCTGGGTGTGTTTGAGGCCAACAGATCTGTTGACCTGAAAAGCCTCAAAATGAGTTTATCCCAGAATAGCTAAAAGAATTGCAGTTGAGGATGTGCATGTTATGGCAAACCACAGGCAAAGCCAGAGAACAACAGACGGAGCTGCTTTTATAAGGAAAAGGGGGGATGGGAGGGGCTGTCCTAAAGGAAAGTCCCTTGGGGGAGAGGAACAGTTCAGGGTGGCAATGCTTCTCATTGGCTGAACTGTGGCATTTCCGATTGGCTGGGCTGTTGTGGGGGCGGGGGGATCTTCCCTCCATAGTAAAGTGATTATACTAGTGTTTGGTGTAATTGAGGGTGTGTGAGACACCCCCCCCCCCCCCCCCCCCAGCCCAAAGGCCTTCCCCATCCAGTCTAGTTAATGTTTCTTTATTAATTTCCACAGCTCACAGCTGCCCCCTTCTCTGGAAAATTGCCCTTGGTTGATGGGAACTGCTGAGCCCTGGAAGTTACCAGTCTCCTATATACCTGGAGTCTTTGACTGACTGAGGTCCCAGTATAAAGGCCCAGCTCCTTTGCTTGCTTCTTGGTGACTTAGCCGCAAATTCTCAGAGTTTCACTTTCTTTGTTGTAAAAATTAATAAAGAGAAACCTTATTTAAAATGGAATTGGGAAGCCAGAAGAGAGAACTCTCATGCACATGGCACTCAATGCACACTAGACCCCAACAGGAATAGAGGTACCCAGCATCTCCAATGGGAGGTGACACCACTTACCACCCCAGCAGAAGGAGGGAGGAAATTCCTCCTTGCCCAGTAACAGCTCAACCAAAGACAGACTGCTGTGCTCAGCCAGCAAAAAGCCACTATACGTACTTCCTACTCCCAGTCTCCTCCAGGGGACTCTTCATTTATTACAGCCCCTCCCAACTTCGTGAAAAGACATCCCCCTCCCTGTTTCTCTGGACTGTATGTCCTGAATTGCAATTCTTTGCTGTTCCTGAATAAACTCGTTTTGCTGGTAAAATAACTGGCTGTTTATTTGTTTCAGGTCAACACCGTCTGACTTTAGATTCCAAAATTTTATTGACATCTTCTCTCCTGGTTTTTGTTCTCTCTCTTTTTTGTCCATGTGGGTTTATGTTTCCCTCTTCCTGGTCATTTTAGTAGAATATTGGGGAAGCAGGACCAAACACTGTGTGCTGTACACCATAGCCTTCATTCTTCAAGGCTCGTCTTCTAGATTTCTCCCAGGTCATCAACAACCTGGAACACTACAGTTTTAATTCATGAGAATGTCAAAGGCTCCAAGATCAAGGAGCTCTGTAAAAATTTGTTATAATTGGTTTTTGTGACATGGAAAGGACTGCCTATTCCCATAACTGGTTACCCACAGAGTACTGAGCAATGGTGGGAAAAGAACCCCCTTTTTCTTATTCGGTTTTAAAATTTTATTTGCCCAAATGTAGGCATTCATAGATTTGCAAGGTCAAGTCTTCAGAGCAGCCCCTCCCACCCTGGCTTTGGGGTCCCAGCTCCCAGCTTCCTCTCCTTAGCTTAGGCAGCTCTGTGCATCACACCTCCTGTCCAGCTTCCCCTCCCTGAGTCCTTGTGTGTCACATTTGTTTCTGGTTCTCAAAGGTGATGGCTCCATTGAGGCTTGTAATCTGGTGCCAGTCCCTTGACTGCAGCTTGGTGTGCCTCATGTAAACGCTTTCCTGGTGAGTGTTCCTGGGGAGCATTTGGTTGCCTTTCCCTGTTCCCTGGGTGAGTGGCTGTGTAGAGCTTGGCTGTTCCTCCCAGACAGCTCGTTTTTAACTGAAGTGAGCTTTTCCTGAATCAGGTAGCTGTGGGACTGTTCGCCACACAAGCCTCATGCTTTCCTCAACAGACCATTTGCTGTGACATGCTTGCTGGGTGACTTGCCTTGGCCCTGCCGCATTTTCTGCCCCATTGCCACAGTGTCACTTGTCCAGGGGAGCCCCTACTTGGACTATGCACCCCATTCTCAAGCTTTGCAGCATGGGTTCCAGTGTCCTGTTCAGGTGTGCCTGGTGTTCACTCTGAGAGCCTCATCTTCCATCCTCACTGTCCCTGTCCTGCACCTGTTGTCAATCAGCACTGCTTTGCTACTCCTTTCCATTTATGTGTTAGTTTTGTGGTTTGGCATTTTCTCTTTCTCCAAGGTTATTTGAAGACAATTTGAAGGTGGATTTCTATATTTGTTTCCTATTCTTCTTGTTGCTGTTGGCTGATTTAGAGAGTAGATAGAGAAAATAACAAATTTAGGCCGCCTTCTGCAAACAACCCAAGTATTATTTTTAATGATAAAAGAATAGAGTTAAGAGAAAATATTTTAATGCAATAAAATTATTAATATTAAACATGGTATCTGCTTACAAAAAACATTAAGGCACTTGGCTTCTTTTTAGCTAGACTTGAAAATGGCCTATTAGGCCATTTTCCAGGGAGCTTTCAAAAGGTAAAGATTCCTTGGCCCAATTCCAAGCCTACCGAGACAGTGTTCCCCAAGGTGGTACCCAAGGTCCTATATATTTTTTATTCAATTTTTTATTGTGGTAAAATACACATAACATAAAACTTACCATCGTAACCATTTCTAATTGTACAGTTTAGTGGTATTAAATACATTCATGTTATCGTGCAACTGTTACTGAACCAGAAGTGGGTTTGCTTACCCATCTCTGACACCAGGTGTAGTGGAAGAAAGTAGGAATTTTATTGAAAAGTGCTGAGCAAGGAGAATGGGCAGCTAACACTGTCATCTCGAACTCCCTGAAAAGCTACAAGTGATGGTTTTTATTCGGGGTTTTAGGTAGGAGGGGGGAGCAGGTGGCCTTGGGAGCTGAAGTTCTAACAGTCTTCTGCGTAGGCACGATTGTCTTTCATATTTCTTTGTGGGTTGCATGTGCAAATTCGGGAGTGTTCTATCTGTTGCATTCGGTGGATTTTTAGTCTGTCTAAAGTTTACAGTTGGTCATTTTAGCTTCTCAAGCTCCTTCAAGATGTTTAGTCAGTCGGGGGTGGGGAGCTGTCAGCAAGTTGCTCTCCTATCTGCATCCTCCTGTTCTGCAGAACAAGCTCAGAATCGTTGGTTACTTTGTTTTCCACATCAACCTCCTGGGTACAGGCTTCAAAATTTTAACTTTTTCATTCTTGGTTTCAAAACCATCACCACCATCAATTCTAGAACTCTTTTCATCTTGTAAAACTGAAACTCTGTGCCGGTTAAACACTAACTCCCCGTCCACCCTCCCCCAGCCCCTGGTACCCACCATTCCGCTCTCTGCCTTTATGAATTTGACTCTAGGGACCTCATATAAGCGGGATCCTACAGTACAGTCGGCCCTCCATGTCCTCAGGTTTTGTATCCACGGATTCCGCCAACTGTGGATGCGAAATCCATGGTTACAAAGGGCCAACTGTGTTAATCATTCTGTGCCATTATGTGTAAAGGACATGAGCATCTGAAGATTTTGGTGTCCAAGAGAGTTCCTGGAACCAGTCCCTGGTAGATGCTGAGGGATAACTGTATTTGTCTTTTTGTGACTGGCTTCTTTCACTTCATATAGTGGAGCATTTGTCAGAACTTCCTTCTTTCTGAAGGCTGAATAATATTCCACTCTATGTATTTACCACATTTTGCTTATCCATTCGTCTGTGGATGGACACTTGGGATGCTTCTATGTTTTTAGCTATTGTGAATAATGCTACTGTGAACATAGGTGTACAAATATGTCTTCAAAGACTTGCTTTCAATTTTTTTGGTTTACACATAAGTGGAATACATATATATATATAAATGTGGAATGTCAGGATCACATGGCAAAGCTATTTTTAATTTTTAAAGAAAACACCATGCTCTTTTCCACAGATGCTGCACCACTTTGCATTCCCACCACTAGTGCACAAGCGTTCCAATTTCTCCACATCCTCAACAACACTTGTGCTTTTTTCTTTCTGTTTTGTTTTCTTTTGGTTTTGGTAGTAGCCATCCTAATGGGTGTGAGATGGCATCTCATTGCACTTTTGATTTGCATTTCCCTAATGATTAGTCATGCTGAGTATCTTTTCATATGCTTATTGGCAATTTGTATATATTGTTTGGAGATATGTCTCTTCAAATCCTTTCTCCATTTTTACATTGTTGTGATGAGAAAACAACTATTCTGTTGCCATCTCAGCATTTTACAGTGTGACAACCCTGCTCACATACAGAATCTGGGCATTTATGTAAGGGCCCAAGCTTAGGATTCCCGGCACAAGTTCCTGCTTTGCTTTTCCCAGGCTGCCTTTAAAAATAACCACCTTCAGCTGACCCCTCAAAAGTTAGTGAGCTCTGTCACCACCATCTTATAAATAATAGGTGCTTGCTACTCTGCTCTCTGTCTCTTGCTCACTCATGGCCTGGATCAGACGACTGCCCTTTTCCTGGCTCATTGAGCCTCTCTGCTTCTGGGATTTGTAAATAATAAATCTTGTGACTCTACTTCCTTTGTGGGAGTGGATG